GAGAGTTAACACACCTAAGCAGCGCCAAACTAATTAATATAACAGGGAAAAGGCTCAATGAGCCCTGGGGTTGGATTAGAACTGGAGACTTGTGTGAACTCAAAGTTTTCAATAGAGAAGTTAACGCATGTGTATATACTTATGTATATACACACACACACACACACATATACATCCCCTAGCTCTGACCATTGAATGAGCCCAAGAACAGCAACAGCTCACTAGCAACAAGCACACCTAGTACTCAAATATTGGCTCCTAAATACTACTTTCTACTAAAACAGACCAGGGCTCCTTGGAGAAATGGCTGATTCAAGGGCTGGAGTACAGAAAGTACAGATGAGCTTAGAGCCTCTTATTGTGCCAGAAAGGCAGGAAATGCTCATAAAATGATAGGGTTCATATTCACACAAAAGGAATACAGAAGCCAGCTTGAATGGGATCCCACTGGCCAAACCAGTGACAAACTGGAGCATCAAAATAATAAGAATTTAAATTCATTCAGTATAATAGGAAAACATGAGTCTGAACAGATATAAATAAATAGGTAAGTTGAATGTTTGATATAGAATGAGATGTTTATAGAGTTTCAAAATACCTCCCCATGAAATACATATCAATTACACAGGGAAAGAGTAGCTTTACAGTGGGAAAACCTAGAAGATACCAGCTTAATCAAGTAATCAAAGCTAACACCACCAGCAGTGGCATAAAGAGACATTTGCACCACTTGATAGGATGCAATGAAAAGAACATTACCTAACCTCTGTGATAATCACTGCCAAAAATGCATAATCTGAACATAACTGTGAGGAAACATCAGACAAATCTAAACTGAGGGATGTGCTACAAAATAATCAGCCTGTAAACTTCAAAGAGTCAAGGTGATAAAAATCAAAGAATGTTTCAGACTGAAGGATACCTACGAGACATGACATCTAAATACAGTAGGTGATTCTGCAATATATCCTTTGTGCTCCAAGGATGTTATTAGGACAATTTTGCAAAACTTGAATGGGGTAGTAAGGATGAGATGATAGCAAGGTGTCAATGTTAATTTCCTGATTTTGATGATTATATTGTGGTTACACAGGAAATATCCTATACTCCCTACAGTGTTCTAGGGTGATAGAATACAGGTTAGAAATTTACTCTCAGAAGGTACAGGGGGAAACAGTTCTTTGTACTGTTTTTCCTTTTTTTTTTTTTTTTTTAAGTTTGGGATTGTTTCAAAGGCTGTTTCTGTGACCTATGGTCTATCACTTACTTTTAGCCAATAAATAAGGGGAAAAAATTTGAGGGAAAATTGGAGAATAAAGATTTCTCCAAAGAGAATTGTGAGCTGGTATTTAGAGAATCCTGCTCATTTCAGTTGAGAGCAGGGACGCATGTCCCCACCTGCACACAAGCCTAGAGAATGGGTGTATCTGCCTGAAAGAGAGAGTGACATTTTGCCCCCAAGCTCGATGCCCGTGAAGGAACAGAAACTCATACAACCACTTAGCACTGCAACCAGAGCAGGGCATATAAAGCTTTGAGCACAGCCTGCCTTCCAGAGTGGGGTGAACAGAGATACAAAATACCTCCCAGAACAGTGGGCACCGTGAAAGGCAGCTATACTTGGGTCACCTTGAAAGGATTCAATCCCAAAGAATTTTCTGGTGGGCAAAGTAACCCCAGCAGCAAGAAGCATGGGCTGCAGGATGGGGGGATGAGAAGCAGGGAGAGGAGAATTGTAAGTGGTCAGCAGGAGACTATACCCCACCCCCCAAGTCAGGGAACAGGGCAGTGGGCAGTGCCTGACATTCCTTTCAGGAAAGATGATATTCTAAGAACCTATGAAAGCGCCCCAAGAGAAAGAAAGCCCGCGTTTGGCTATCTGAAACCCAGGGGGTACCAGCACCAGAGAACAAATGCTGTACCATCAGACCAAAACCACAGAGAACCCGCAGCAGCAGCACAGTCATGGGCAGAAGAGGAACAAAGGAGCAAGGAAGAGAAAGCGTAGAACAAAGCACGCCCTACCCTCACCCATAGCAAGTCCCAAGCCTGGAAGTTTTGAGTTGGAAGAAAACTCCAAATTTTAATTCATATCAGTTTTTTTTAAAACCTTAAAGCATAACTAAAATGGCTGAAAGTCACCAGACACCTGTGGACTATGCCAGGAATAGGAAAAGAGCCTGTTTAAAAAGTCATGCTGAAGAAGAAGAATGTGACTTGCTGCTTTTCCCCACCCCCTCCGGCTCATTTGATGCCCTGGTTGCACATGCATTGTCCTGTTTATTCCTCACAACACCCTAGAAATTTGTCCCCCACCATGAGTCTCTTTCATTCAGACTCATGGTGCAAGGCTATCAGCTCCCAGTCACTGCACCCAGGGTGCTGGCCTTCCAGAACAAGGCATTGCTCCTCCCCCAGCTTCACTTGGGTGGTAAACAAGTGGAGGCCCACAGGAAAGCCACTAGGTGGGCAGCAGAAACCAATAGAGGGTAATGCAAAGCACAGTTGCAGGGAATTTGTTTTGCTTGTCGTGGCTTCACAGGAAAACCACAGCTACAGGGAGGATTAGCAATCAGAGGAGGGTGGTTCTTCCGTGCAGAGGCATTGGCAGAGAACACACTGGGAAAGCGAAAAGCCCAACAAAGAAAATGCTCACACCAGGATGTTCAAAAACTAAGATTCTGTTCGTGCATCCATTGCGGTGGTCCTTAACCTTGGCTGCACACACCTAGGACTTTTTAAAAATCCTCATGTGTGGGCCCCAACCTCAGTGATTGCAGGCACAGGGATTTTTTTTTTTCCAAGTTCCCTAGATGACTCAAATGTAGCCCAGGTAGAGAACCATAGCTTCATTCAAGGAACTTTGCTGCCTATCAGTTTGGGGACAAAATTTAAAAAAACAATAAAAGAAAAATATTCTATATCAATTACAAATATCAACTCCAGAATAGGTTTGACTGAGCATGAGCTTCAACCCTGAAAAGTAACTAGTATGAAATTTAAACACACTAATGAATATTTAAGCATAGTCTCATTTGCTAGATATAAGTATAGCTATACAGATATAGACACAGAGATAATAATGTAGCCATATACCTTGTGCTAGTGGTAAGATATGCAATTAAAAGTGTTTTTCCTGCAGTAGAGATGATCACCAGTCCATCTTATCCACACTTACTTACCTGGTCCTCCTTGCAAAGAAACACACACTCGGGATTTAAGAAGTCACAGAAAAGAGCAAAGCCATTCGACTCACCAGAAGATTGAAATGGCAGGGGCGGGGCTGGGGGTGTGGATGGGGTTGTTTCATGTAAACCCTTCTTGAGTCAAATGAATCCCCACCCTAACAGCATTTCCATCCACTCATTAACAACACTGTTTCAATAAATGTAGAAAGCAAGCAAGCAGACAAGGATTCTTTCATTTACAAGACTTTCACATTATGTAACTCCGATGGCACTTTCAACTTCCATCCCTGTTTTCAGATTATTTTTAATATTTTCCCGTCACTCACATGAAAAGAAACAGATCTGATCCCTCTGCTTGGAAGTCAGGGTCCTTCACAATCTGTTTCCGTCCTAACTTTTACCCTTATTTCCCTCTCTCCATGCCTCTCTAGAACAAATTATCTTTCACTAAGCTAGGAAGCCCACTCACTATCCCAAAACTTTCTAAAGCCACCTTTTTTTCTTCCATATCTTTTTTCTTCATTAAAAAGTATTCATTCAGGCCAGGTGCGGTGGCTCACGCCTGTAATTCCAGCACTTTGGGAGGCCGAGGTGGGTGGATCACGGGGTCAAAAGATTGAAACCATCCTGGCCAACATGGTGAAACCCCCTCTACTAAAAATACAAAAATTAGCTGGGCGTGGTGGCACGTGCCTGTAGTCCCAGCTACTTGGGAGGCTGAGGCAGGAGAATCGGTTGAACCCAGGAGGTAGAGGTTGCAGTGAGCCAAGATCATGCCACTGCACTCCAGCCTGGCAACAGAGTAACACTCCATCTCAAAAAAAAAAAGTATCCATTCAAAAAGTATTTATTGGCTATTTTTCCTAGTTAGGACAATAATTAGTATTTAGTCCTCATTAAAACAATAATATATTTAAATAAACACATATAATTGTCTTTTCCACAAATAAAAAGAAAATGCCACCCATATCATCAAGTACCGTGATAGACCGATGACACCAATGGCTCCGATCTTTTATCCCTCTCTGGATCCTCAGGCTTTATAATGTGACTTGGCAGCTTCACCTATCAAAACGTAGGGTATCTATCCCCACTCCTTGACTCTCAGTTTGCAACTTGCTTTGGCCAGTGGGCAAGTTCGACAGAAGCCAAAGTGTAAAAGGAAGCACTCAAGTGTTTCTACTTTTGCTCGTCTGTGATTGCTACGTGAACGTGCCCAAGCTAGCCTACCGGAGGACAAGCAACACATGGCCCAGTGACTCTGCCCTACTCATCAGCCAGTCAACTGCCAGACTCATTTGAAGCCAGAAGAACCTCCAGCTGAGTCTATCCTAAGTCAGCCAATCCTGGCTACTATCAGGCATACTAATGGGCCCAATCAAGACCAGAAGATCTTCCTAGACAGGCCAACCTAAAGTGCCCTCCTGAGACCATAGCCTTAGTAAATACTCATTGCTTTCAGTCACTGCATTTCTGGGTGGTTTGTTACACAGTATTATTGTGGTAATAGATAAATGAGACAAGTGTTAAAATAACTGTATAGCAATAATTTAGATGAGGTAAAAACAGCTGGACAAAGACTAGATTACAAGGTCTAGTAGTAGGACAGAAACTATGTTGGGTGATTAACGACTGTGTCCCCTTTGCACAGCACAGGGACAGTCACAGGTGCTCAATAACATACGCTGCCGGATGAAGGAAACATCTGGTCATGACAGATCCTGGGCTGTAACAGTCCTCAGAATGGATCATTAAATCATTAACTTCCAAACTTTTACAAATATAACTGACCGACTGCTATCATTTACTTACCTTTTTTCTTTTCCAAGTCAAAATCCTTAGCCAGTACACATAAACCACACAAGGAAAAAAATGTTTCTGTAAATGGCTTCCCCAAACACTCAGATGGCTCCTTGCCCCCTCACAGAAAGCCATTTCTCTGCAGCTGCCAGGTTACTTCTGCAAGAGCTCAAGCCTAGCCAGTTACAGTAGCTGGTGTAAAAGCTAATCTTAGAAAACACACATCATTTCTCCAACCCGGTAATTAAGACCAGAAATCTGTAACCGAGACATTCATAAAACTGGGGTTTCCAAGTGCCAGCTTTCCCTTAGAGTTCTCCAGAATGGGTCAGACTGGGAGAAGCCTGCCCAAAACAATTTGATGGGCAGGAGAATGGGTTCTGGATGGGCAAAGGCCAGTGGGAACAGGCCCAATCCAGTACCTTTCAAAGTCTCCTCTCCTTCTAGCTTCATGCCTCAGTACTTCTCTGTCCACCTTTGACCACTATTCAAGTGCCAGAGCTAACCAACCATTAACAAATCTACAATAAAAGAATAAACTTCTGTGGGCAAGATTAGTAATGTGTTGGTATTTTGGAGCTCTGCCTTTATTAATGTCTCCACTGGCCAGTTGTAAACAAGAAGGCTTTTAACTTCTCAGAAGGACATTGCTATTTCCCCCATTTTATCTTTCACAGAAGGGACCAGTTTCAACCAACTTTTTCCAGTCCTGACACTTGGATTCAAGTCAGAGACAGTTATTAAACCCTAGCCACTGCTTATTACTGAGTCCTGATTTATTCAAGTGCTTATTTACACATAGGACCGGGAACGTACAGCCTCTCCTTTTCAAAATGCAAACTTTACTTCCGACTCCAGGCCTTGCAATTTATCTGGACGAAGTGCTGATATTGGCAGGGTACCCTTGAATACACTTTAGGAGTCTGTTTCTTTGATATAGCCAAGAGGGTAAAACTGCCATATCCACAGATGTCTTCAATTGCTGGGATATTCTCTTCCCACCGTGGAGACTTTTTCAATCTCTTTAATACTAGGGAGGAGCCAGGTTGCTATTTTGGGTTTAACTATGAAATATTTATTGGGCTCTAATTTACCAAGAGTTATTTGAAACTCCAGAGCCTTAGGAATTCGATTTTATTTTTTTACAATAAAAATGAGCCTAGAAACTGATCAAGTAACAGTAGGAGAAAGAGGAAAGGCCAATCTGATTTGAAAAGGATTGGCAGACCAAGAGACTTGGATTATAAACACCTAGAGGACAGGAAGGACAGCCTTTGAGTGTTGCAAATGCTTCTGTGGGTACAGAATGAGAATGCTACACAATACCTTACAGATCATGTATTGCAAACTTTGCACTTTATATGAGGAAGCTGAGGTCCAGAGAGTGTAAGTGACCTACCTGAGATCACACAGCTAGTCAATAGCAGAATCAGAATTGATTTCTGTTTTCACTCTTTTGAAAGTTACAGGAAATGACCATGAACACCATCTGTAATGACAGGGCAGTATAAAGAACTTGGTGCTATAGCTACACATACATCAGAGGGAAGGGTCTCTGATCTTCCTGCCTCCACTCCGGGCCCAAGCTCAGCACACTCATGTCAGTAACAATTCCCATTGTACATAAGCTCTCAAAAGTGGAGAATCTATTGTTTAGAGAAAGCTTTCTAAAACTCAGAACTATTGACATTTTGGTGCAGGAAGTTCTTTGTTGGGGGATTCTTTTTTCACAGAATTCTTGGTTCCTACACACTAGGTGCCAGTAGCATCTAGTTGGTTCTCCAGACATTGCCAAATGTCCCCTGGGTTGCAAAATTACCCTAGTTTAGAACATTGATTGAAAGCAAAGTTCATCTGATACCAACTCAAGACTCTACATAAGCACCATTGAGCTGCATGATTATTTGTCATAACGGTGAGAAAGGTGGAAGACCTAGAGATTTAAAGAGAAATAATGGATATCTGTTTAATTCATTGTTGTATTCTCTAGCACCTAGCACATTCATTAGTACAAAAAAAGTTGCCCTCTATCTTCTTAGAAATTAACATAACTAAAACATCATTTATTACTAATAAGTGTTAATTTATTAATTCATAAAAGTTTGAATGCTTTGGGTTTGCAATCAAATAACTTTCTTTCATGTTTATTCTAGTATACAATAGGTATTCTTTCCCTAATGATCATTGTAGTCCTTCTTTTAAAAATTCACAGCCTGAAGAGTACACAAAGGACACAAATGTAGAATAAAAAGAACTCCCCCAAATAAAAAAGTTAATTTAAAAAAACAAACCTCATTCACATTTGATGCTTTACCAAATTTAAATTCGTCCTGATGAATGCACAAACATCCCAAGGTGGATTCGCCTGGATTAGCACAATCAGATTGCTTTCCTAGCACCCAGCAGTGGCTAGTGGAGAAGAAAGTGCTTCGGTGAGGTAGGCAAGAGCAATAGGCCCTCAGTGCTCAGCAATCCCAGTTTCATTTCATGGCAAACTCTCATTCTGAAGCAATTCCAAAGGTCTAGGGAATGTAGCAATTTGTAATTTTGTTAAGGTACTAGGTTCCATTGTTCTCTACTTGCCGAAGATGTGTACAAAGTAGCTCTGACAAATTATTTGTTGTTGTTGTTGTTGTCTTTGAGACAGCCTTGCCCAGGCTAGAGTGCAGTGGTGCAATTTCAGCTCACTGCAACCTCTGCCTCCCGGGTTCAAGTGATTCTAGTGCCTCAAGCCTCCCAAGTAGCTGGGATTACAGGCACGCAACATAATGCCTAGCTGATTTTTGTATTTTTCGTAGAGACAGGGTTTCACCATGTTTGCCAGGCTGGTCTCAAACTCCTGGCCTCAAGTGATCTGCCCATCTTGGCCTCCCAAAGTGCTGGGATTACAGGCATGAACCACCATGACTGGCCTGACAAATGATCTTTTAAAATTTGTTTCTGTGTAAAACATAGCCATCAAATGAGGGATAAAACTTCAGGGGAAGTTGGAAAGGTAGTGAACTGTAGTTAATGAGCAAAATGAAGGTAAACACAGAAGCATTCAACTCAGTGGAAATGTGAATTAGGAGGAAACAAGAACTCATGCATACATTCTCTTATTCTTTATTCTCAAGTCTTGGAGGGGTCAGAAAGATCTGAAAAGTATAGTCTTCTGGGATGTCAAAATTCTATTGTAAACTCTTGTTTATTCAGAAACATATCCAGGAAGGGGTCTGCTGAGTGAGGGTCTAGAGCAAGGGAATTTTGAGCAGCCTGAGGCTACAGGCTTGGGGAGGAAAGTGGGAAGAAGTGGAAGCCAGGGAAGGTTCAGGGCTGCCTTTCCAGGTGGCTTTCATTTAATTTCAGAGCGGGCTCCTGCCACACTGAGCTCACTCTGGGGTGGTAGGTATAAAAGAGCAGCCTAGGGTCAGAGCTGGACCTCAGGACCTCTGCCTCCTCTCAGACCTGTCGGAGTACATTGGCTATAGAAGGATGCTAAAATGTCAGGAAAACAGATCAGGCCCGGGGAGGCCCAGGCAGTGCCCTTCCGGGGGACTGCAGGAGGCTGAAAGATACCTGTTCTCCTGCAGAGTCACTGGCTGGGGGAATGGGTGTGTTTTCCGAGACTCACCAAGCTGCTCTCATTGTCTTCCCTGCTAGAGCCACCATCAACGCCCAAAGAACCCAGACCCAGTAATGCCTTCGGCTATGCAGTTTCCTGTCACATGGCCCTTCCCTAAAACCTGGCTGAAAAGACCAGCTGTATATCTTATTTCAAAGGGTGCCTGGGGGGTGGATCACCTGCTTGGCTACATTCCCAGCAGCCCCAAATCTCTGACTAACCATGACTCTGACTATCCAGCAGAAAGGTACTCACACTTGGTTCTACAACCATCCACTAAGCTGGAGAGAATCCTACAACCATCCTTCTTCAGAAAGAGTCTTTGTCCCATTATGTGCCAGGTGCTTTACACAGCTTTATTTAGACTTTGTAACAACCTTCCTCATAATAACATAGCAAAGTGCATATTTACAAACGAGGAAACTAGGGTTTGGAGAAGTTAAGTAATTTGCCCAATGTTGCACAATCTGTAAGTGATCTGGCTGGAAGAGAATCCTGTGTTGTCTCTATGACAGCAAGGGATATCCAAAACCCAAGAAAGATACAATATTTAGGCCAAGTCCAAACAAGAGGCTCCTCTTCTGCCTGAGTTGTTACTTAGTCGCACCTGGCAAGCTTTGCCAAGGCTGTATCTCTTCATCCGCCCGCCATATTGACACTTGGGATTCTGTGGCATCCTGAGAGCATCCCTGCAAGTGCCTATGAGCACTCCTGCCCCTGAATCTGAACTTCCTGCTACATCCAGCCTAGGACCTTCTGAGATTCAGTGCAGCCAATCTCTCAAAGAAGTCAGTCCCCACATCCCAACCCAGGACCTCAGGTACAGAGACAGCAGGACACTTCTTGGAGTTGGAGACAAATGGCTAGTCTTGGTCTGACCACAGGTCCAGAGCTTCATTTACTAGTTTCCTGGGGCAATTACAACAAATTCACGAATTTAGTGACTTAAACCAACACAAATGTATTATCTCTCAATTCTGTAGGTTAGAAGTCTGACAAGGTTCCTGTTGGGCTAGAATCAAGGGGTCAGCAGGGGGGCGTTCCTTGCTGGAGGCTCTAGTAGAGAATCCATTTCCTTGACTTTCCAGCTCCTAGAGGCCACCTGCATTCCTTCCTCTTGGCCCCCTCCCTCTATCTCCAGAGGCAGTTACAGCAGGTTGAACCTTGCAGGCATCACTCTTTGTCCATAGTCCCATCTTCCTCCCACTGTCTTCTGCCTCCTTTTCCACTTTTCAGAACTCTTGTGATTCACGGGGTCCTCTCAGATAATCCAGCATGAACAACCCATCTCAAGGTCCTTAACTTAATCCATCTGCAAAACTCCTTTTGCCATGACAAGTAACGTAATCAGAGGTTCTAGGAATTAAGATGTGAACAACTTTGGAGGGGGTTGGGGGGCACACCCCATAAGGCCAAAAACTTTCCTCAGATCATTCTTGCACACAGAAGCACAGGCATTTTCCAGCTCTAGCCTGGAGCTGTCTTGGACTGTGAGCAAGCTGAGGGCAGGACCGCCCCTGTCTTCTTAACAAATGTCTGACGCATGGCAGGCAGTCAGTGGGAAGTGACAAATGAATATGTGGCCAAGAAATGGGCCTCTCCCAACTGCGTTGAACTCAGTGACCTGAGATTATTCACATCTGCCTTCTGCCTGACGGTTTACTCTCAAATATAACCCTCCTGGTCACGAGTGTCCACTCTTTATACCCACCCTCAGCATAGAGCGTGAGCTGCCTTTACTCACCACATTGTTCCTTGGCCTTCAGCAGGTGGTGATGAGTTTGCAAGTATGGAGCTATTGCCATGGAAGACTCTGGAAAAGCCCGAGGGATGTGACTGTGCTGACCAACCCCCTCATGCCAGGAGTTGAAACCTACAGAAGTATCAGGTTGGTGCAAAAGTAATTGAGGTTTTTTTGTTTATTTTGAGACGGAGTCTCGCTCTGTCACCCAGGCTGGAGTTCAGTGGCACAATCTTGACTCACTACAAGCTCTGCCTCCCAGGTTCACGCCATTCTCCTGCCTCAGCCTCCCAAGTAGTTGAGACTACAGGCACCCACCACTACGCCCGGCTAATTTTTTTGTATTTTTAGTACAGACAGGGTTTCACCGTGTTAGCCAGGATGGTCTCGATCTCCTGACCTTGTGATCCGCCACCTCAGCCTCCCAAAGTGCTGGGATTATAGGTGTAAGCCACCACACCCGGCCGAGGTTTTTGCAATTGAAAGTAGATTTCCTTTGCAGAAACTGCAATTACTTCTGCACCAACCTAATATCTCCCTACTCTGTGAAGCATTTGGGTGACTCTACATGTGGACGTTCTTAGAGTAAAATTCAAACTGTTCAAAATACAAAATAACTCTGGATGACGGCTTTGTAAAGGGAGGTATATGATGCCCCTCAACATCTGGCTCCTGCCCACCTCTCTAGCATCCTCTGCAGCACATGCCCCTGCCTTCTGGTTTTAAGGCACAATGACATCACACCCTCACCTTCAACATTTGGTACAACCCTCTGGGGAGTTTACCCCAATTTTGAGATGAGCAAACTTAGAGTAGATAAAGAACTTGCTCAGCATCACAGAGCTCACACACGGGAGAGCCAAGTTTTAATCCAGCCTCTTAAAAATGAAATACTTTCTGCCTCACTACACAGCCTCCCAAAGAGTGCAATGACACAGTCCCAGGACCTTACCAGGTGACCAGAAGTGTCTACTAAACACAGGGCTGCCTGGGCCCAGCTAATGGGATGTTAATTCTGGCAGCCCTTTCCCTCCTATTTCCCGTTCTTTCTATGAACTTTGGGATCAAAAACTTTGTGATGAAAGTTATCATTTCTAAGACAGATTTTCCCTCTAGGTTTGCACGTACAGTAAAAGGGATTTAGGTTAGACAGTTGGAGAACTTGCCCACACATTAAGGATTGGCTTAAATAATTGGATTAAATTTCCCAAACATAAGAAGAATGAGACACTGGAGCAGGGTTATTGAATTGTCTTTCCTAAGAATATTTCACAATGCAGGCAGCAGACCCAGTAATTAACTAATGTTATTCACAGACTTCTCTAGAAATTAAAAAAAAAAGAAAAAAGAAAAAAAGAAGAGGAAGAAGAAAAAAGGCCGGGTCTTACTCTGTCGCCCAGGCTGGAGTGCGATGGTGCCATCACAACTCACTGCAGCCTTGACCTCCTGGACTCAAGCAATCGTCTCCCCTCAGCCTGTCCAGTAGCTGGGAGTACAGGTGTGCACCACCATGCCTGGCATTTTTTATTTATTTTTATTTTTTGTAGAGACAGGGTCTTGCCATGTTGCCCACGACGGTCTCAAGCTCCTGGGCTCAGGCAATCCTCCCGCCCTAACCTCCCAAAGTGCTGGGATTACAGGCATGACACACCACGCCCAGCCAGCCTGTGTCTTTTGCAATGACAGCACCATCATAGCACTTTGCAGACCCGAAAGCCCCGGGTGCCTGGAATGGAGGAGAGCAGAGGGAGTTCACGCTGCCACCTTTCAGAGAGAACCAAATCCCAGAGTTCACTCTGGATTTGGCTCTCAAACTTTTATGGGCATCAGAGTCATCAGGAAGGCTGATGAAAACACAGATTGCAGGCCCCACCCCGAGTTTCTGATTCAGTAGGTCTGGGGTAGGATCTGAGAATTTGCATTTCTAACAAGTTTCCATGTGATGCTGATGCTGCTGGTCTAAACTTTAGTGGCCTCAGTCCCATCTAAACACTAGGATTTAGAAGGGATCTGGGTTTCCTCCCTTCCCATAGCCTGTGAAGTGCCCCCAGGGTTGCAGGACAGCCATGTGTTTTTAGAACATCGTCTCAAGATCTTGCTGGGGCTGTGATCTTTCACAAAAGAGGAGTTAGCCCTCTCTCCCCACCACAGCTCAGATTAAGTCTTTTCTTTTCTCCGAAAAGACACTAATCCTGAGCATTCGCCAAGGATGGGAGCTGTCTGCTGACTGAGCTGCCACCAGCTTGGCACCAATATTTGCTTAACCTCTGCTCAGCCGTCTTCTGAGCATTTTCTTGTCCCGCCCTTGGTGGGGCTCATGTTTTTCAAGTTCAGTCCTGAGAAGCCTCTTACTTACCAGTGTGAGGAATCCGGGTTTTCTTCCTGCACGTGCTCCTTCTGGATCCCCTACTTGGGCTGTTTGCCATCTCACAGCCTGGCCAGACTAGGGGATGGGGACGGCCCAAACCATCTGCCCCAGCAGGGAGGGGTAGTTTATCACTGACCGTTGGCACATGGTGATAATAAAAAGCATTTTGTTTTAATTTATTTTATTAGTATTTTTAAATGTAGCCTGCACCTGGGTCAGACAGCTCCTCCCCAACCCCACCTTGGTTCTCCAAGGCCACACAAGGTTACTATTCTAGAGGCCTTTAAGTTAAGTACCATTCCCAAAAGGGGCATAGCCACAGGGTCTCCTGGGAGCAGGATTCAGAGTCTAGAGAATACCCCCCAGTTGTCCTAAAAGACTTCAGGCTGCAGAAGGCTTCCTCCCACCACCTGCCCACCGCCTCCCAGTCTCCAAGCCCCAGCATCACTCTCCTGTGTGCTCACTGTTCCCTTCTCCACCCATTAATCAAAACCTGCCCAGCCTCCTCCCTCAACAGATCAATGATCCGTCAAAATCATTCTCCTTAAGGTCTTCGTGGAAGAGCAAGACTTCTCCCAGACCTTGCTGCACCTAAAAAATCAGGGCCCCTAGATTGTCTGTTTGCAAAAGATCATATTGCTAATGGTGGCAATGCAGCCATTTCAGGCCCCAAAAGTGGTCAATTTGGAACAGGTAGCTTCTGACCCCTCGGATCCCCCTCTGTAGGTGAACCCTGAATATTCTATGACACCAGCCTTCTTTTAATAACCAAACAAAATGGCCCAAGCCCCTGTATTAGGTCATTCTTGCATTGCTATAAATACCTGAGAGTCAGTAATTTATAAAGAAAAGTTTCAGGCTCACAGTGCTGCAAGCTGTACAGGAAGCATAGTGCTGGCATCTGCTTAGCTTCTAGGGAGGCCTCAGGGAGCTTTTACTTATGGCAGAAGGCAAAGTGGGAGCTTGCACATCACATGGTGAAACCAAGAGCAAGACAGAGACGGGTGGGGGCAGGTGCCACACACTATTAAATGGCCAGATCTTCTGTGAACTCAGAGCCAGAGCTCACTTATCACCAAGGGGATGGCCCAAGCCATTCATGAGGGATCCACCCCCATGATCCCAACACCTTCCACCAGGCCCCACCTCCAACATTAGGGATTACATTCAACAAAGGTGGGGACATCCAAACCATATCAGCCCCTATCCCATGGGAGTACAGTGTCCTCCTGGAGACTCCTGAGGGAAGGCAAGAGTGGGGAGACATATGGTCTCCTGGGACAGGAAATCTCTTAAAATTGAGTATTAGTTATCAGTGTTCTTCAAGTTGCTATTGTGGCCTCATCTCTTCCAACCTCTTTAGCTGGCTCTTTCCTTTCTCATCTTCTTCCAGTTCTCCAGCCTCTGAATCTCTGTTTCTCCCTTCTATCCCCAAATTGCTGAGGGAAAATGGAAATCTTCCGTACTTTATTATACAATGACGTTTAAGTCTGAACTCTCCCCTTTCCAGAGGCTTCAGGGCCTCTTTTACTCATCTGCTTCATAGGTTTTCCTTAACAAAGAACTAACATCCTTGGCATGAATTTCATGCTTCCAGTGCACAGTGGAACTGCAACAGTCATTTTTCGTTTGAAATAGCAATTTTTCCTTCCTTGCTACCTAGGCAATTTCCTCTTTTGCCTATAAGCCTTACTTTGATTCCTAAACCATAAGAAACTTCTCTTAGGGCCAGTTCATTTTTTTCAATTATTTATGCATATGCATATATATATGTACATATATATAATTTTCTTCCATAATGTAAAACCATTTCAAACATTACTGAAAAACAAAAAACATGATTCCATCACTCTAACAACCATTTGTATTTTCAAATGCTCCATTCTAGTCTCTGTCCACCCACATATATATTTTAAGGCATCTATGTTTTCCTCTTCTGCTTTTTGATTTTACATGACACAACAAACAACTTCCCATGTCTTCATTGCTATTGCTTTAATAGCTGTATAACACTCCATTGAATTATTGCCCCATAGTTTAGCTACCCATTCTCCATCACAAAAGCAGGGATCTTTGTCTCTCTTATTCAGTGATGTACCCCAAACAGTGGGATACAGTGCCTGGCACACAATAGGACTTCAAAAAAATATTTGTTAAATTGGCTGAATGAATGAGACACATAGATTGTTTCTAATTTCTCACTGCTATAGACAGGATGCAATACACATTTTTATAGATATAACTTTTTTGGCTTTTTTCCCTGATATAAATTCCCAGGACTAGATTAATAAAAACAGCAGCAGCAGCAATGATGATGATAGCTAACATATATGAGCAGATACGACATTCCAGGCTATGTGCTGAGCACTCTACAACCATTGTATCTTTGACTCTTCACAGTATCCCTATGAGAAAAGTACTAATTATCCCCATTTTACAGATGAAGAAACAAAGAACTGGTTATTTGCCCAAGGTTACACAGTTTGTACAGGGCAGAGATGGCCTTTGAATTAAGGTTTATACCAGTCCAGATTCTAAGTTCTTTATTATTATTATTATTATTTTTGAGATGGAATCTCACTGTGTCGCCCAGGATGGAATGCAATGGCACGATCTCTGCTCGCTGCAACCTCTGCCTCCCAGGTTCAAGTGATTCTCCCACCTCAGCCCCCCGAGTAGGTGGGATTACAGGTGCATGCCACCACACCCAGCTAACTTTTTGTATTTTTAGTAGAAATGGGGTTTCACTGTGTTAGCCAGGATGATCTCTATCTCCTGACCTTGTGATCTGCCTGCCTCAGCCTCCCAAAGTGCTGGGATTACAGGCATGAGCCAC